ACACAAGCAGGGGGAGTGGGGGAGGGAGAAGCAGGCTTCCCGCAGAGCAGGGAGCCCAATGCGGGGCTCGATCCCAGGACCCTGGGATCATGACCCAAGCCAAAGGCAGATGCTTAACAACTGAGCCACCCAGGCGCCCTGAGACCCTTTACTCTTAATAACGAAGATGACCGTGGGGATTTGTGCCAACAGAAACTTGAAGAGCAGAGTGACAGTTTGTCACAGCCCCAGTGAGCCCTGCAGCCATGCAGAGCACAGCGTCCGGCTAGTGAGATTCCCTCTGGTGCCGGGCCGCCTGGGCTGGGAACGCTCCCACGCTGGGGCTGGGAGGAGAAGGGCAGCGAGGTCAGGACGCAGCCCAGACGGGGCATGGCCAAGGGATCTTGTGCGCTTTGTCCTCCGACTGCAGGAGACTGTGCCCTTTGGAGACGCAGTGCTGGCCACCTGGGACACCTGCATTGGGAGCGAGATCTGCGAGGAGCTCTGGACACCCCACAGGTCAGCCTTGGCCCCCTGTGCACGGCAGCCCTGGCGGCGAGGCCTTGGGCTGTGGAGGCATCGGGGCTGGGAGGGCGGGGCGCACAGCCCGTCGCTTCCTGTCAGCCGCCTCTGCCCACAGCCCGCATGTGGACATGGGTCTGGACGGCGTGGAGATCTTCACCAACGCCTCGGGCAGCCACCACGTGCTGCGCAAAGCGCACGCCAGGGTGGATCTGGTGACCATGGCCACCACCAAGGTAGGCGTTGGGCCACGATGCTGGAAGGTGCATGTTGCGGGCTGGTGCCGCGTCCCACACGCCTGGGTCCCTGGAGCCCAGGCGGCAAGGACGCGTGGTGGGCATCGGTGCCCGTAGTTGGGGCCCGTGCTCAGCAAATGTGCATGGGCTCCTCTGCTGGGGCCCCACCTGCCTGACCTCATTTAACCCTGGCCGCACCCCAGGGAGGCAGGCGCTGCTATCCCTGCCTCTGGAGCAGGGTACCCGGTTCGTGCCGCCAGTGGCCACCGGCTCACACCCCCAGGCCCCCGCCGCGTGCAGGCAGTTTCCCTGCAGCGGAGCTCTTTATGGTGTGGCGGGAGGGCTGAGGAAGGGCAGGTGACGTCCCGCTGCCACTCACGTCTTCCAGAACGGGGGGATCTACCTGCTGGCCAATCAGAAGGGCTGTGACGGGGACCGGCTCTACTATGACGGCTGCGCCCTGATCGCGATGAACGGCCGCATTTTTGCGCAGGGGGCCCAGTTCTCCCTGGACGACGTGGTAAGAGTGAGCTCGCGCGTCCCTGGGAGTGACCGCGCCGGGGGGGGGGGTGGTGACAGCAGAGCGGGGGACCCCTGGGTCCCCCAGGAGGACGTGGAGCTGGAGCCGCCTGGGGAATAAGCAGGCACCGGTCCCCACAGCGAGGAGGGGCGTTTGGTGGGGGGCCTCATCCACAGCAGTGGAGCAGAGGGGAGCTCGGTGAGGCCACTTGAGACCCACTTGCCCTTGCCCACGTGTCCAGGCACGTGCGTGTCAGCTGTCGGCCTGACGCCACCCTGCCCCCGCGTCCTGGGATGCTTAGCTGTCTTCAGGCCGGGTCGATGTGGCCCAGACGCTGGGCCGCATGTCAGAGCCGCGGGCACCTTGCCCAGGACTGATTGGCAGTGGACTGGGGTCACCTGCACCAGGAGAAGCAGGCGTGTGGGTCCCTGCAGGCTCTGGGCCCCAGCCAGGCCTCAGGGTTGGTTACCTGGGGATCTGCATTTTAAGCATATACCTAGGTGATTCATAAGCACACGAAAACCCGAGGACCATTGCCACCTGTTTCCCCAAGGGGGCTCGCAGGCTGGAATTACCTCATTTTGTCCGAGCATTCAGGGAGAGAGGGCATCGCCGTCCTCGGGCCATGCTCTCCTGCCACGTCCTCCGTGATCCGCCCAAAATGATCAGAAGAAATCGTGAGGCGCACGGAGCCATTGCACAGAGCAGCAGAGCTGCTGACCGTGCCCTAGGACGCGCTCCTCGGGGTCTTCCGAACCTCGTGGGCTGCCTGGCACTGTGGATGCCTGGGTCGGGCGTTTATGTTGATGCTAACCCGTTTTGGGGAAAAGTGGAATGGGGTCTTCTTCTCATGAAAAGATTCACGCCATAGTTTTTGGTTTTTGGTTTTGTGGCCTCACTCTTCCCTTGGGTTTGTCGCATGGAAAATACGGTGGCTTTGGTGGCCCATCACTTTGGGAAATGACGGGAGGACCAAAGGACAGATGAGCTCTATTTTCTCTCTCTCTGTGGAAGTGTCCAGCCTGGGTCGGGCCCGGTGTTGACAGCGGCAGATGCCCACAGGCCTGTTAGCAGGAGTGTCCTGTGTCACGCGGTGGTGCACAGGACTAGCTCCCGCTGCCCCCAACTTGCATGCAATGACACGATATTCTAGTGACATCAGTTGACTGGGAGTATTTTTTCATGAAGATAGAATAATATAAATGAATTGGAAGCTTCTCTTTTTTGCTGTTTTTCGAAAGTTTATTCTTTTTCTATCTCGTGGTATTTTTTACTCATAATACTCCTGTCTCATCTGGTTGTGAAGGCAGGGACGTGTCACCGCGATCACACAGGCAGCACATCCAGGCCCCTCGCATGGATCGCCGGGGCTCTGGCTCCACCTCTCTGCCATGCTCCAACCCGGCCTTCCTCTGTGTGGGCTTGGATCTGGGCTTGCCTCTCCTCCTGGTCACAGGGTGGCTGCAGCAGCTCCAGCCATCTCATCTCCACACAGCCACAAGTGAAGCAGAAAAGGGGCCCTTGCTCCCAAGAGTCCTTTTAAGAGGGGAGAAGCTGTCTCGGAAGTCCGCGGCAGATGTGCATTGGCAGAGTCGGGTCCTGTGCCACGATTGAGGCACCGCTGCCACGTGTCTGAGTTCACCGGAGGCTCTGGTGGCAACGGCGAGAGGGAAGGGCTTTGGGTCAGCAACAACACTGCCGTGCCCTCTCCCTGGGCCCCTGGGAGCCCACAGGTCCCCAGTCCTGCCTTAGAAGGCGTGACGGACGCTGTGCAATTTGGCACACCCATGAGAACAGCCAAATCACACGTGCAAATGGGGGAAACAGGAAACACGCTTTCTCTTTGAAACCCCTTCTCCAGGAAGTCCTCACCGCAACATTGGATCTGGAGGACGTCCGAAGCTACAGGGCGGAGGTTTCATCTCGAAACCTGGCGGTGAGTTCATAGAGGCACACGCAGGTGCCTGACAATGCCCCGAGGACTCTCTTCTTAAATCCTGTATTTACTGACCGCGTCATTGAGCTGTTATTCCCATGCCACACCGTGGTGCGGTGGTTTCGGGCACCCTCACGGGCTCATGCAGCCGTCAGCACGTCAGCACAAAAGAAACCCAGAGCCGCTAGCCTCACTCTGCAGCCCCCTCCCGCCCTGCACAGCCACCAGCCTGCCTTCAGTCTCTGGGCTGTGGGCGTTGCACGTAGATGAAATTACGTGTGTCGCTCAGCACAGCGTCCGCAGGGTCCCTGTCCAGCAGCTGTCAGGGCTTTGTGCCTTTTTACGGCCAAAGACCGGTCCACGGAGCGGTTACGCTACACAGTGATGATCCAGCCTCCGCTGAGGACACGTGGACCGTGTCTGTTTTCTGTCTGATGAGTGATGCTCTCCGAACGTGTGTGCGAGTTCTTGTGCAGACGGTTTCTCTTGGGCGTGCACCTGGGAGGGGGGCTGCTGGGCCACATGGTCACCCCGTGCGTGCACCTGTGAGGGACTGTCAGACCGTCCACAGCAGAGGCCCCTCCACGTCCGAGGCTTCCAACGCTGGGTCCTGTCTGTCTTTCCGACTCCAGCCGTCCCGCTTGGAGCAACAGCACCACTGTGCCTCTGACGCCCATTCCCACGGGCTTGCCGCCGCGGGGGCGTCATGTTGTCACGAATCTCCGTCAGCAGGCCAGCAAGGTGAGCCCCTACCCCCGCGTGAAGGTGGACTTTGCCCTCTCGTGCCACGAGGACCTGCTGGCGCCGCCGTCAGAGCCCGTCGAGTGGAAGTACCACAGTCCCGCGGAGGAGATCAGGTGGGCGGCCCCTGCCCACAGGGAGGGAGGGGTGGTGCTGGTCCCGGGGCACCGTGCCGGGGGCGGGGGCCGGAGCAGCGCGGGCGGCTGGTTCCCAGAACCCGCCCGGGGTGGCCGCTCAGTGAGGAGGAGGCCGTGCGGCATCGGGGTTGAGGGCGTGGGGGGCGCAGCCAGTCGGCCTGGCTTCCTCGCCAGCCCTGCCGCGTCCTGGTGCCGGGGCCTTGGGCACAGGGGCCCTGCCTGTCCTTTCCTTTTTGTGTCTTAGTTTTTCTGCTTCAAAATGGGGCCAAAAGATAATCACCTACCTCCCAGGGCCGTTGGGAGACAAAAATGCGTTAATTCCCATGAAGCGCTTAACATAGAGATTTGGTGAATCGGGAGGGCCCCTCCCCCCGGCAGTTCTCCCTGGTGCTGCTCCTACCTGGGCCCCTGCCCCCAGGTAAACTGCAGACCAGGTCAGCAGCTCCCAGGCCTCACGTGTCCCCTTGCTCCCCAGCCTCGGACCCGCGTGCTGGCTCTGGGACTTTCTGAGACGCAGCCAACAGGTAAGATGTCCAGTGTTTGTGTTTGATTCCATGGCAGCCTAGGGATTTTCTTTTCTTCACGCTGCCTCCATCAGGAGCTTAGTCTATATGAGGCAGAGGCCAAAGGGCACACGGAGGTTTGGCTCCATCTTTGGAGCCCTGTCTGATGACACTCAGAGTGACGAGACGGCGTCCCCCGCTGGTCCCATGCACCTGACGTCTGTACTGGGCAGATGCCCAGGTACCTAGATGCCCTTCACTGCCCCTCACAGCGGGAGGGCTCTCTTCCCTCTGGAAAACCCGTCTGAAATATGTGGCGCATCTTTGTTCCCCCCACGTCTGTGGGTGGAGCTGGGCTAAGTTTGCGGCACGTTGCTTCTCTGAGGCTCTGCTCACACCTGCCTTTGGTTGGCCCATTCCAGGCCGGGTTTTTCTTGCCCCTGAGCGGCGGGGTGGACAGCGCAGCCACCGCCTGCCTCGTCTACTCCATGTGCCACCAGGTCTGCGAGGCCGTGAAGCACGGAAGTAGGTGGCGTCCGCTGGTCTGAGCAAGGCTCCGGGGGTGGGGGCTGGGCTGAGGAGAGCCCCGGGTCCTGGCCATCGTGGGTGAAGGAGGCTCTGCAGATGCGCTCAGATGTCCCAGCAGGACCTGGGGGCAGCAGGCCATTGAAGCCCCTTCCTGGGGCTCAGGCCCACGTGGCCGTGTCCATCAAGCCCTCTGCCCGCTGCTGGGCGCCGGCAGTGTGGCCCCGGCCTTGGGCTCAGGCAGACCCGGGTCAGGATCCTCCCCCGTGTCGAACATCCCCTTAGCGTGCCCGCCAGAAACATGAGGGGAAGGCTCTGTAGGTGGAGACCTTGCCCGGGCGAAGGGAGGGACTGGGCTCTGAGCACCGCGTGCAGCCGGGGGTCTCTACCTGCTACCCGCTGTCTGGTGGTTTTCAGACCAGGAAGTGCTGGCTGACGTCCGGGCCATCGTGGACCAGCTCAGCTACACCCCCCAGGACCCCCGGGAGCTCTGCGGGCGTGTGCTGACCACCTGCTACATGGCCAGTGAGAACTCGTCCCAGGAGACATGTGACAGAGCCCGGGAGCTGGCCCGGCAGATCGGAAGGTAGGGGAGGCGGCCGGCACTGGGGGGGCTGCTGCGGCCGGACCCGCGCCACCCGAGGCCCCGCCCGAGCCGACACTCGTGCTTAGATGCGTGTCCAGGGTTGAGCAGGTTGCTACGGTCTCTCGTGAGCCAGGTTTTAGGGAGACTGTTTCCATTCCCCCCAGAGCCTAGCTGTGTCTGATTGCCACCCCTCCTTCCCATCATCCTTGCGTCCCAGGCGCCGGCCAGCAGGGCTCGTGGGTCCCCCCGTGTGGGAGCCCGGGACCCCACTCACCGCTCTGGGGAGTGTGCAGGCTCTGTACCGGCTGCCACCCTCTCCCACCCGGCCAGCTCCCTGTACCTGGGGAATGGGGAGGGGCGGCCTCTCTCCCGATGGGGCGCCTCGGTCCATTCAGGCTCTTCGTTTCTTCTGCTGCTTGGGGAACAGTGCGGAGCTGCCTGTTGCCTGTGCCGAGCTCAGCTAAAGCCCCCCAGCAGTGCTGCTCCTGGCTGCGTCCCCCAAGGAGCTGAAAACAGGGGCTCAAACAGACATTTGTGCCCAGGCTCACGCAGTAGCCCGAGCACAGAAGCAGCTCAAGCTGTCGGGTGACAGACGGATGAGTAGACGAGATGAGCTCTGGGCCGAGAATGGGGTATCAGTCAGCCTCAGAAAGGAAGGACCTCTGTCACCTGCTGCCTCGTGACAACCCCGGAAGATGTGATGTTCGGTGAAATCCGCCAGGCACCAAGCATCACGGCCCGCGGGAATGCCCAGGATAGGCGGCCCTGCAGGGACAGAGAGCGGGGCGGGTGCAGACGGGCACAGGGCTCCCTGGGGTGCAGGCGCGTTCCGGAACCGGACAGAGATGCCAGCTGCATAGCACCGTGAGCTCGCCCTGAGCGTGCGCGTTCACGCGGCTGGGATGGTGAACTCGGGGTTACGTGTGTTTTAGTGCATGTGCACGCACACACCCCGTGCACACCCGCCCCGCCCTTTCCCTGGCAGCCACCACGTCGGTCTCAACATCGACCCAGCGGTGAAGGCCGTCATGGGCATCTTCAGCCTGGTGACGGGTAAAAGGCCTCTGTTCGCGGTTCACGGAGGAAGCAGCAGGGAGAACCTGGCCCTGCAGAACGTGCAGGTGAGCCTCCCAGCCAGGCCCTTGTCCCCGCGCGGGAGCCACAGGGAGCCCGGGGGCCTCGTGGACAAGGCTGAGGGTGCGCCTGCACCCGAGTGTGAGTGTGCAAGAGCTAGAGGGCGCAGGGGTGTCCGAGAGTGCCGCGTGGGTGGAAGCTTGTGTGCGTTAGAGGTGGTGGGGGAGACGCGGTGCACACGCAGGTGTGAGGGGTCTGCATCTTCAGGGAGTGGCTCCACGCGCCCTACCTCCGGGGCTGCCGCAGGGGAGCCAGACGCCGGCTGGTTGGTGGAGGGGAAGAGGGACCCTGGGCTCCAGCCGCTGCGCTCTGTCCCATCTCTCCCTTTTCTTCTGGCCACAGCGGCCTTCCCTGCTCCGGAAACGCTGGCTCTGAAGGGGGTGCAAAAAGGGGCCTAGACTTCTTTGCAGCCCCATCCCGCCCCGGAGCTCTCTCGGCTCCCCGGCTCCGGGTCCGTCCATCTGGGATACGGTGCCGCCCGCTGTCAGGCCCGGAGGACCCTGCTTCCTCTGGACGCTAGAAAGCTCCTACGCTACTTGGAGCCCCTTTCCCTGGAGCTGTACGGGGGGCGGGGGCCAGTGTGTGTGTGTCCTCCCATGTCCAGCACAGGGTGACATTTCCTGTTGTGTCCCCCAGGCGCGGCTAAGGATGGTCATGGCCTATCTCTTCGCTCAGCTGAGCCTCTGGGCCCGGGGCGCTCGCGGTGGACTGCTGGTGCTCGGATCGGCCAACGTGGACGAGAGGTGCGTGTGCCTGGCTCCCGAGCGCCCCAGATCTCCAAGGGCGCGTGCTCCCCGAGACAGTGTTTCCAGACCCCCACCCGTTCTCACTGCATCTGCGAGACACACGGTGTGGGGGTCACATCACCCCGTGGCACAGGCCACGTCTGGTACCCACAGGACGTCATTGCTCCAAACCTTCCCGATGACTCGGGTGTGGAGACAGGTCAACACTGTTTCCTTCTGGCTCCCCGCCCACCGGCCCAGCTCAGACCAGCTGCACCTGCCTTGGGGCTCTTCCTTTGCACTGGGTCTGGAATCTGTCTCCCCACCCCACCTCGCTTGGCTTCACCCATCTCTTTCTCCTGGGCAGTTTCACTGCGTTCTAGGTCCTTGCTCTGTCCAATTTCGCTCCCAAGCGGATACCTCATTTCTGATGTGGACTTGAAATACTTTCTCATATTGGTCGAAAAAACTCAGAGCCTCCCTATCGTTCTCTAGATAAATTTTAGCTGACTGTTAGGGTGAGCAGTGGAAGCTGGGAGGACGCCTCCAGCCTTGGTTTCTGCGTTTCTCTCTGGTGGGCCTTGTTAGCAGCGGGGGTCAAGAAACGTATCTGTCATTTATTCAACTATTCATCTATGCATCAGTCTATCCATCCATCTGTCCACCCATCCATCCCTCCGTCCACCTGTCCATCCACTCACCTATCCACTCATCCATCCATTCATCATCCATCCATCCCGCCAGCCATCCACCCACCCACCTACCCACGCATCCCTCCACCCATCCATCCATCCATTGTCCCACTCACCCACCCATCTGTCCATCAGTCTGTCCACTCATCTGTCATCTGTCCATCCATCCATCTTTCTAGGTGTATCATGAATGTCTTAAATCTTTCTACATCCTTGCACATCTGCAAATGTGTTCTCTGTTAAATGTTACTTTGGACTTTTGGATTCTACTTTCTACTTATGACGATTTGAAATTAGCACCCTTTAGCTGGTAAAAAAATCTCCCCATTCTCACGCACACTTTGTCAATTTCCATTGCTTTTTTTTTTTTTTTGTTACCCCCGGTGCTTCTGTAAGGAAAGGATTTTTCAGGAGGGGTGTGACGGCTAGTGTATATCCTGAACCTGATGTAGTTGAGAATATTGGTGCATTTTGTTCTGTTTGCTTTTAAACACGAGTTTGACTTTTTATCTTTGATACGGTGCTGCTACCATAATTGTTTTATTGCAATATTTTTCATCATAATTCTTATCCATTGTCTTCTGGGATTTAATATTTAAGCAAAAAATAACAGTGATTTTTTTTCCAGGGTGGGAATGGGCTTCTGGGTGCTTAAAGGTTTTCTATGGCGTCTATTTACGTATTCATCTGTTTTCATCACTTTTTGCTGCCGGGCCTCTCTTACGGGTACATAAAAGTCTGTCTACAGCCGCAGAAACTTTTCAGTTGTGCTTCCTCTGTTGTCTTTGTTTCCTGTCCCCACTGGGACGAGTGTCCCTCACTGTGTCCCCGTCTACGATCTACCCGTTGCTCACATCCCAGGGTAGAGCCTCCAGTCTGAGTCTCTGCCGTGCTGGTTCTCATTTAAACGTTACTTCTCATCCTAACTTTGGTTCCGTTGAGTTCTGATTTGCTCCCTCCTCAAGGAATTGATAAAACATGTGCCACGTGTCAGGCGGTCTTCTTGGTGCCGTGAATAAAACAGCAAAGTAATTCCCATTTTATTCTAGTGGAGGGAGACAGGTAATAGGAAAACTAATCACGTGTGTAGGAAGTGGAAAGTCTACGAAAAAAACCAGGGTAGGCGCGGGGAGAGTTTGGGCATTTGGGCTTGTAAGTAGGGTGGCCAGGGAAGGCCTGTCTGAAAAGTTGGTTTATAAAGGAGGAGGGCAAATGCAGCGAGGAGAACGGTCTGTGCAAATGTCCTGTGATGAGAGCTCACCAGGACAGAGAGCAGTTGTCCCTCGTCTGCAAAGCCCCGTCTTGTCCGAGGGAGGTCCTGGGAGCCCAGCTGGGACAGGTCGAAGGAAAGTGGTGGGTGAGGGGACCGCGGGTCAGCTCTTTATAGAAGTTTCACCTGCAGGAGAGGGGAGGTGCAGGGTGGAAGCTGGCAGGAGCAGTGAGACAGGGAAAGGTGGTTTCTTAAGGTTTGATGAGAGAGGTCTAGCAGTTGCTGATGAGGAAGGGGGACGTGGGTGGACAGCTGCCCTGCCATCACAAGGAGGTGGGAGCGGGCGGCCAGGCGAGAGGCCGGCTTTACTGGGAGCCCAGCTAGTGTGTCCACGGAGTAGCAGGAGGCCACAGAGCAGACAGCCCAGATGTGGGTGGGGGAAGGTGTAGGGTCGGGGCTGCAACTGCCCTCGTGAGGCGGGAAGCAGTCACCAGCCGAGCGAGGGTGCGGGGCGGGCGGTGGGCATTTGAGGAGAGTGGTGGCGAGCAAGCGAGACGGGTCAGGGAACCAGGCGGGCAGCGCCAGCCCTAAGGACGCCCCGGAGGTGGGGTCGCGCTTTCCAGCCAGCCGTGTCCAGCTGCGTATGCATGTGGAACATGGGAGCCGGGTGAGGGTGGCAGAGAGAGAGGGACACGGGAGCTGAGGAGCCGCCAGGAGAGGTGAGGAGGGGTGAGCACGAGGCGGAGGCCAGGTAAGCCACAGACCCCGGGTCCTGGTGCAGTGGAGGCTGCAGGAATGAGCTGCCACCCCCGTGTCCCGTGATCCGCTGGGAGACGGACTGAGCATCGGGAGGTACTCATGGCTGTGGTTGATTACAGCCAAAGGATGCAGAGCAGAAGGCAGATGGAGAAAACCAGGCCCAGGCTTCCAGAATCATCTCCCAGGGAAGCGTCACTGATATGCTTCCTTCCCCGGCCACACCTGTGACAGCAGGGAAGCATGTCAGAGACTCCGTGCCCAGGGGTTGCTCCGGGGGCTGGTCACACAGGCACCGTCCCCCTGGCCTGGACCGGGCTTTCAGTCCCAGAAGGAGAGCAGTGCTCAGCACCAACCAGTTCACGCGGCCTGGGGGGGCGGCGAGGCATGCTTGGCTCCTGGTGTATTTTGGCATCACAGGGAGAACCAACAGGATTTGCTGGTGGACCAGACGTGGGGTGAGGATGCCCAGGCCGACCCAAGCCACCGGAAGGATGGACTGGTGTTTGGCCGGATGTGGAGGCGCAGGAAGCGGGTGGGGAGGTCAGGGTCCAGTGTCGGGAATGTCGGCTTTGACACGTCTTCCAGACACGCCCGTGGAGGTGTGTGGTGGGCAGTCATACGGGGATTCTGGAGTCCCGGGGTGAGCCGCACCCCCAAATCTGGAAGTCTGCAGATGGCGAAATGCCGTTTAAAGCTACGAGGGCAGCTGGGCCTGTGGGACTGAATGTTTACAGAGAAGGGAGTGGGTCAGGGGGCCCAGATTCCAACATGAGGAAGCTGCCAACAAGAGCACGCAGCCGGTGCGCGTGGGACCCGGAGGACAGGCGCCCAGAGCCATGCAGAGGGCCTGTTTTGGGGCGGCTGGTGCTTGTCGCTCGGGTATGGGGAGGACTGGCGGCTTTTTACTGGAGAGGCCAGGGCAGGGAGCTGGCGGCGAAGCTCGAGAGAGAGCTGGAGGGGAGTGGACACGGCCCCGAGAGGTTCGGCTTGGGGGGCAGGGGCGCATGGGCTGAGGGAGGACAGGAAGGCAGCGGCCGTCGGGCGTTACCTGTGCTCATGGGAGCGGAGGGGGCAGGTTCTTGGAACCTGTGAACCTGCCCGTTAGCGGACCATCCCAGCCGGACACGGTCAGCTCCCGGTGCTTCTCGGAGCGGGCTGGAGCCCATCGTCCCCTCTGGCCAGCAGTCCCTGTCCCCACTCAGCCGCCTCTTCAACAGGAGGGGGACCGGTGGAGTGCCCACCTTGGGGTGGATGGGAGGAGCCCTGCTCAAGGCGGCACCAGGTTTACCTGCCCTTCTGTTTGGTGCCCTGGGGGTCTTACGCCCGAGGCCCTGCTCTGTGGCAGGAGTCTGGAGGAGGAACGAGAGCTGGGTCTTTCTCCCGAGCAGCAGGAGGTCAGTTGTGCGGGTGGAGGGGGCCCCGTGCTCGCAGGACGGTGTGTTTTCAGCCAGACCGGGCGCAGGACATCAGGCAGAGCGAGCAGCTGTTTGGTGCTGGTGTTGGAGTGTGGGCCCGGGCGACACAGGCAGAGGCCGGGCCCTGGAAGGCCACCACCGAGGGGCTCAGGGGCACGTGGCGGGGTCGGGAATCACCTTGTGGGAGGGTGGGGGTGGTGGGGGGCCTGGGGATGTGGGTGGAGAACTGTCGTCCAGAGGTGGGTGTAGAGGAAGGCGTCCCCTGGATGGTGTGGGTAGCGAACGACCAGGGAGTCAGTGGCCCAAGCAATGTCCTCTCGCCGTTCTGTGCGATCCCAGTTCAGTAGGGATCTCACTGGGTTAAACTCAAGTTGTCGGCAGGGCTGGTTCCTTCTGGAGCTCGGGGCTCCTCCCTCCCCCAGCAGAGCCCGCGGGGCAGCATTTCTGCCTTCCTCCCGGCTCACGGCGCCCTCCGGCTCTGCCCCCCACCTTCCTCCTAGACCTGTAAGGATGCTTGTGAGTGCATTTAGGGCCACCTGACAATCCAGGTTGAGAACCTCACCTCAAGGTCTTCAACTTAATCCCGTCTGCAGCCCCATTTGCCCTTGGGGTCCCATGTTCACAGGATCTGGGTAGAGGATGTGGGTGTGTTTGGGGGCCACTCTTCGGCCCCCCCGCAGGAGGTGTCCGGGAGGGGGAGCGCACAGCTGTGGAGAGGTGGCCCGGCTGCCATGGGCTCAGCCCTCAGCCCCCTGTTCTGCCAGCCCTGGCCTTCAGACTCGCCGCTCCCGGCTGGACGCCGGGCGTTCCCAGGTCTGTCTCCCGGCTCCCACGCCTTCTCGGGCCAAGTACCTCCCCTTGGTCATCTGCCGCCTCCGCCCCTTTGCGTACGGCTCCGGCTGTGCCGGGCGTCTCCGAGACCCTCCAGCTGGCCGAGCTCTGGCTCCGGGTGTTGACGAGGGCCCGGACCCCAGGCAGGATCTGCAGCCCCTCAGGTTAGCCACGTGGAAATCCCGTGTTCTCGCCCCACAGTCTCCTCGGCTACCTGACCAAGTACGACTGCTCCAGTGCGGACATCAACCCCATCGGCGGCATCAGCAAGACGGACCTGAAGATGTTCATCCAGTTCTGCCTGGAGCGCTTCCAGCTCCCCGCCCTGCAGGGGTGAGTGCCGCCCGCGAGACCACGGCTGCACCCAGCATCGCCCCCTTCCACAGCTCCCTCCTGCCTGATGGAAATGGTCCCGCCCTTGAGCGGGCACTGGGGTGCCGTGACCCGGTGGCCCCCTTCACGCCGGCGCTCCCCGGGCCCCACAGGGATTTGGGGCGATGTCTTTAGACCCCGTTGGTGATGGCAGCACTGTGCTCACGGCACCTAGTGGGTAGGTGCCCCCAGGTGGCCCGCGGCACCCAGGACGGCCCCACAAGGACGCCTGACCTGCCCGTGGGGTAGCACCTGCCGTTTTGGGCGCCGTCAGTTCCTGCCCCAGGTCACGAAGTCCCCCGACATCCACGTCCGTCTCCCCAGGAAAGCCCAGCCCCGCCGGCCCCAGCTCGGGGTCGACAGGGGCGTTGCTGGAGGCCGGCCGTTGCGCCTGGGCAGTTGGTTTGGGGCTTCCCCGCACGCTCACGAGCTCTGTAGCAGCGCCCACGGCTGACCTCCGTGTGTCTTGGCCGCAGCATCCTGGCAGCACCGGCCACCGCAGAGCTGGAACCCTTGACCGATGGACAGGTGTCCCAGACAGACGAGGTAGTGCTGGTGGCTTTGTGACCGTTCCCCACCTCCCTGCTTCCTCACGTCTGTGCCGGGCTCTTCCACGACCTCCTTTCTGCCCCGAGCAACCAGGGAGCCCAGGGCTCAGGGCCTGTCCCGCTGCTGACCTTTGACGTTTCGATTCGGCCTTCTTGAGGCTGACCCCCGGGCGGAGGGGTGAGTGGGGCAAGTCTCTTGCAGGTGGCAGGGGCGCGGCCTCAGAAGAACCACTCTTGACCCCGGCGTCCCATGCCGGCCTGCAAGCGATGAGGGCCGACCGGGGCCGTAGGCTGTGGTGTGCAGCTTCCCTGGTCGAGGCTGGAGTGGCCGTGAGCCGTTGCAGAGTCTGTGACAACTGAGCGTCCTGCCACCAGCGCCTTTGGTCACAGAGATTTACTCGTGCTCATCCCAAGAGTTTGTAGATTTAGTCTTTTTTTTTTTTTTTTTAAATATCTTTTTTTTTTAAAGATTTTATTTATTTATTTGAGAGAGAGAGAATGAGAGACAGAGAGCATGAGAGGGAGGAGGGTCAGAGGGAGAAGCAGACTCCCCGCTGAACAGGGAGCCTGATGCGGGACTCGATCCTGGAACTCCAGGATCATGACCTGAGCCGAAGGCAGTCGCTTAACCAACTGAGCCACCCAGGTGCCCCTGTAGATTTAGTCTTACGTTTAAGGCCGCAACCTGGTTGGGGTAGTTTGTGTGTGTGGTGTGAGGAAGGGATCCCGCTTGGTCGTCTTGTTGAAGAGACCGTTCTCCCGCGGAGTGTCTCGCCATCCTGGTGGAAATCAGTTGACCGTAAGTGTGTGGATCCATTTCCGGACTCTGTTCTGCTGACCTGCGTGTCCGTCCCTGTCCCGATACCTCACGCACTCGGTCACCACAGCTTGGTAGGAAGTTTTGATATCGGCAAGTGGGAGTCCTCCAACTTCGTCACTCTCTCTCAACGTAATTTTGGCTGTTCTGGGCCCTCGGAATTTCCGTATGAATTTTGAGATCGGGTGTAATTTTCTGCCACGCACAGCACCAGCTGGGATTTCCACGGCAGGTGCACTGAGTCCGTAGCTTGATTTGGCAGATGTTGCCCCCTGAGAATGTGAGGTATTCTGAGGCCTGGACGTGGCATGTCTCCGTCTTTGCTTCGGGCTTCTTACTGTTTCAGTGTTTTATAGCTTTCAGAGCGTGAGCATGCACTTGTTTTGTTATTTATTTCTAAGCATGTTATCTTTGTTGTCCCGTAAATGGAATTGTTTTCCAAGTTTCCTCTCTGGGTGGCTCGTTGCCTGTGTCTAGAAGCACCTGACTTTCTGCAGCTCCTTTCTGTCCTCTCTTTCTCATCCCTGCCGTGTGTTCGAGGGTCAGTTTGCACTTCTCCCCGCTTGGCATAAGGTGGAAAGTGAGGTCTTCTTTTTTAAAAAATTCCTCCCTTACCGCCACACCCCTGGGCCCCACACAGAGATGCCACGTCTTCATTTTTGTGCATCTCCGGGCATGTTCTAATTTTCCTCGTGATTTCTTTTCTCACCTGTCGGTTACTTGAGAGTGTGTGGTCTGAAACTCACGGAGGCCAGTTTTATGGCCTGGCATCTGGTCTGTCCTGGACAGCGTTTCGTGAGCCTCGAGGAGAATGTTTGCTCTGCAGTTGTGCATGGAATGTTCTAGAGAGATCGGTTAGGTCTAGTCGGTTTGTAGGTTTTGAGTTTTCTCTCCTCTTGTTGGTTTTTTGGTCCAGTTTTGTGCATTTTTGAAAGTGAGGTATTAAACTTCCAACTATTATTGTTGAAGCTAGGGAATTAAATGTTGCACTGCAAAATATTCACCTCACGCAGAGGAAAGCGGTAAAGCAGGTCCATGGCACAACCCACTAAGCACTGGGGCTCAGCAGTGAGCCAGCCGGTCCTGCCCTTTTTATGTGAGTCCCCGGGTCACACAAGCGGGAAGTAACCACGAGGGCCCCAGGTGGCTCCTAGTGCTGCCCACACACTGACCCGGGTGACCCGAAGGTGACCGTGTCCCTCCGATAGGGGTCAGGACAGGCCACCCCAAGGAGGTGACATTGGAGCTGAGGCCTGAGGGAAGGCCGGGGTGGGCAGTGGGGAGCAGGGAGGAGGGCCTGGTCATAGGCAGATCCTGGTTGGAGGTGAGGCTGTCTGCCGTGCCGCGAAACGTCAGCGTCGCCGTCGGTCTCTCTCATCAGGCTCTGGCTCTACATTCTGGGGCACAGTGGGAGTTGAGGGGGGATGAGAGCGAATACTGAGAAATGCAGAGGGGCTTGCGTGAGCCTCAGTGTGAGGCTGGCTCTTTCGAGCTGGCCTGGGGCATTCCGTGGCCAGCGTGACCCGGGTGTCTGTGCTGAGTTGTCTGTCCTTAGGGACAGCGGGCTCCCTGGGGCAGGGCGCAGGGCCAGTCTCAGGGGGGCCCTGCCTGGCCTTGGTCCTGGCTTCGGCCTCCTGGGGCTGCTGGAGCCAAACCCACAGGCCGGCGCCTTAAACGAGAGGCCCATACCCTCTCGCTGTTCTGCAGGCCCAGAGGCCGAAATCAGGTCGTCTGCAGGCCACGCTCCTGGCGGGAGGCTCCAGGGCAGGGTCCTTCGTCCAGCTTCTGGGGCTTCCTCGGCTTCGGCCGTGCCCCCCAACCTGTCTTCACGTGGCTTCTCCCCGTGTGTTCTGTTCCGTCTCGTCTAAAAGCCCCCACATCCAGGGCCGTCTCATTTCAAGATCCTTCACTTACTTACATCCACAAAGACCTTTATTTTCCCAAATAAACCCACAGTTTGCGGGTTCTGGGGCTTGGAGCATGGACAGAGCTCGGTCCGTCACAGCCCTCAAAACCAGGCTGGTCCTTTCTCCTAATGCTGGCTCTGTGGCACCGGGCGGTGAGTGGGAGCGAGCCCGTGCCCCTGCTCGTGGCCCCGTGGGGACCTGCCCCCCCCCGGGTCTCAGGTCCGTGGGCACTGGGGACGCAAGCTCTCCTCCAGCGCTGGCCTGCTGCCTCTTCCTCTCCGCAGGCGGACATGGGCATGACGTACGCGGAGCTGTCCGTCTACGGCAGGCTCCGGAAGATCACCAAGGCCGGGCCCTACAGCATGTTCTGCAAACTCGTCACCATGTGGAGAGACGTGTGTTCCCCGCGGCAGGTACGGCGCGTGTGGTGCTCGGCAGAGGGGGCCACAGACACAGTGCCCGTGGGGATAGTCTGGCTGCCGGGAGCGAGTCAGTGCGCCCTGGCCTGGAACGGTGGCGCCCTGTCACCGGCTCCTCCGAGTGGGGCCCCTGCCCGCTGTCCGGCTCGCGGTCGGGCCCATTGGGGCTCACATGGTGGTCCCCAAGGTCCGCCTGGAAGCCTCATGCCGTGCGTCTTCCTGTGCGCCCCACTCGGGTCCGCCGATGCGGCATCCTGGGGCGCTGGGGCGGGAGCCCACGCGGGACGGCCCAGCCAGCCGCCCCAGGCGCACATCCGTCCGCTGCTGCCCTGGGGGAGGCTGGGGCCCGGCAGCTGCGCGGGGTGACGCGGGCCTCAGCCCCGCGTGTCCTCGCCCACTAGGTGGCTGATGGAGTGAGGCGCTTTTTCTCCAAGTACGCTGCAAACAGACACAAAATGACCACGCTCACGCCCGCGTACCACGCGGAGAGCTACAGCCCTGACGACAACAGGTTCGACCTGCGGCCGTTTCTGTACCGCGCCGGCTGGCCCTGGCAGTTTCGGTGCATAGAGGATGTGGTAAGTGGGGTGCAGGCGGCTCTTCCCCGCGCCCGGCGTCTACTGGGGAAACACTGGCTCGCTTCCGCCGAGGACCGGAAAGCTTTCTGCTGGCAGCGATGGCGTTTACGTCCTCGTGTCTGTGAGGGGCCAAGTGCATCCCCTTTGTGCCGTGTTACTCACCGAGCAGCCGTGTGCACGCGGGGCCCGTCCACACCATCCAGGATCCAGACGGGCTCTCGTCTTCTCCAGCTCCCGCCTTGCCTTGCCTTTGCTAGTTAATAATGCAGCGGAGGAAGGATTAGCAAGTTCAGTGTAAAAAGCAAGTCCCGCCTTCCCTTCCCAAGGCCACGGGCTGGAGCCAGGGCCCAGGGCACGTGGGCCCGCCCTTCCTGGCGCAGGTAGTCACCGCCCGTGGGAGGGAAGCCGGCCAGTGGGGGGCCCTCGGTACACTGACCGTGATGAGCTGGGCTGCGCGCAGTGTTGCGCCGGCGATCACGGCGGGACGGACGGGCGCTCCGTCCGTCTGCTGGCCGAGGAGGGCATCTCTGTAGATCACGTGGCTCTGGAGGACGGACCCCCAGTCAGACGACGCATCCGGGCCGCGGTTCTCGGGGGAGGGGTCGCCCCCAGGGACAGCAGGCTTTGTCTGCAGATGTTCCCGGGGATGGCGTCTGGGGTGGGGTCTGTGTCATGGACATCCGGTGGGCAGAGTGCGGGGACACTGCTGGCTTCCGAGGGTGCCCAGGACAGCCCCCCTCCAGACGAGGAATCAGTGAGAGGCAGGGCTTGGCTCCCCCACCTGCACTCAGCGATGGGTTCCCCCAAATCAGGAGTGGGGTTCGGAGGCCGTGCAGATGCAGACCTCTCGGAAGACACACGTAGGCAGAGATACAGTCTGCTGTGGTCTCTGCGTCTAGCAGGGACGGCCGTGATGTGCTGAGGCACGTCCTCCCAGACTCAACCAGCGCACGTGCTCTGCATCCTTCCCGCATCCTTGAGCGTCGTGGGGACTGCTTCACGGGCTGCTCATCCAGTCCCGTGACCGCCACCCTCGCTCGGTGCGAACCGGTGTGTTTCGACAGCGTAGACATTCATGTGACTTGTCCGTCAGGTTCTCCAGCTCGAGAGCAGAGGCCGTCAGGACCTGGATGGTGTGGACTGACGCCAGCTCCTGCCCAGAGGGCCCCTCCCGCGAGGGTCCCGTGTGTGACGTGGGCCTCACCAGTGACCGTGAGCGGGGCCCAGCCACCCCTGCCTGGAGCAGCATGCCTACATCTTGTTTCATATGTCACGGGACAGGGATCTGTTCATTCTCGGTCCTTAGAAAAAGGCTCAAATAAAGAGAATGTGATTTCTGGGAGCGGAGTCTGTGTATGTGGTGGGGATGAGGAGCCTCCTCTTTCATCCCCTCCTAAGCCCCCCTCAATTCCTAGGATCCTCTCTCGGGGGCTAAGCCCCAGGGGATTGCAGCCTCCCTGGTGCAGAGTGAAGTTGAGATGGGATTGGCCACACTCACAGTCCCCCCATCCCTGGGGAAGGGGCACAGTCAGTTTGGGGTCTGTGCTGCTCCCCCTGCCCAAAAGCCTTACCCAAGAAAAGAAACTTGTAAGCAAGGAAAGGAATTTATTGGTTAACATGTGGGACAGTGCAGGGCTTGTGACGGCTTCAGGTCTGACTGGATCCAGGGTGTGCACGTGTCCTTAGAACTTGGTTCTCTCCTCCCCCTGCCCTGCTCAGCTCCTCTGTCTCTGCTGGCTCCCTTCATGCTCCACATCGGGGCGCTACGGCCCCAGCCCTGCGAAATCCCCGGTGTAAACCCAGCAGGAAATGAGTGTGTGTGTTTTCCTGCTGAGTCATACGCCCATCCCTGAACCAGTTAGCTACAGCACAGGGCCCCCACAGAGGACCAGGAGGTGTTAGAGAAGCATGGAGAGTGGATGGTGGGTCCCCAGACAACACACAGCCTTCCTGTCTGAGGCAACCGTTCCCAGGGGCACTGCCATGGGTTCTGGGCCTGTGGGTAGACCTTTCAAAGCCTGTGGGTAGACCTTTCCCTCACCTTCCCACAGTGACAGCAAAAGGCCCGCTAAAAACGAATCAGGCTGCGCCGAAGGTGTGGGCCCAAGCAGAGGGAATGACACATCTCTCTCCTTCCCCAAAGGCTGCCCCCATAAGGTGGCGTCCATTGCTGGAATCCAGGGCCCCCCGCAGACCCAGGAGCAAAACAACCATTCGTCCCCACAGCCCCGGAGGCCCATTATTTCGTGACCTAAGCCAACCTGAAGACAGCCTTTTACACAGGGAAGCAAAGCCATTTACTGCTCATTCCCAAAAAGCCTTGGCCTCAGAGACCCAGAAGCCCATTGCTGCGGTCTGAATGTCTGAGTCCCCCCAAAACCAGATGTCGAAATCCCAACCCCCAAGGTGATGGCATGAGGAGGTGGGGCCTTGGGGAGGTGACCCCTAAGAGCAGGGTTCCCGGCCTCATGAAAGAGGCCCCAGAGAGCCCCTTGCCAGGGCCTCACCTGGGCACGCCAGCGCCCCGATCTCTAGCTTCCCAGCCCCAGAACCGTGGCTCGTTCCTGGTGTTTCCGAGACACCGTCAGCGTGCTTTTCCTAAAGCCAAGAAGCAGTTTACTCTGGAGGAAAATTCAGTTCTCCACCTGCGAGGATCCAGAAATAGAGACCCAACAGTCAAAGCTGCTCTGTGAGCCGACATGGCCCTGGGGACTCCGGGGCCTGTTTCCCTCCTCCGAGGATGGTAGCTGGCAGAGCTGATGGTGCGGACCCACAGACAGCTCTCCCCGACCCTGTTGGCAGCCCCCCAGCTTTGGCCCGGGGGGTGGTGACAGACGAGATCCAGGAGAGGTGAACGTGGGGCCCAGCAGCTGAGGCGGGGACCCTCGTGCCATTTCACCCCCTGAGATGACAGCAAGGGGGACACCCTTAGTGCAGGCCTCGTCACCCCACGGTGTCCCGGGCAGGATGGTGCCCTCGCTGACTCCCTGGGGAGGGAGCAGGCATACCACATGACGTCGTCAGGCCCCCCCAGCTACAGGGTAGTGTACCCCTAGTTATAGGGTATGTCCCCCCAGTTATAGGGTAGAGTGCCTCATTATAGGGTAGTGTCCCCCCAGCTACAGGGTGCTGACCCCCAGTTATAAGATAGTGTCCCCCTTATTACAGGGTAGTGTCCCCCCATTATGGGACGGTGACCCCCAGTAACGGGGTTGTCACCAGAGCTCAGCTAATGAGAAGCCGGCAGCTTCCTGGCAGCCAAAAGTGTGTCTCTGAGGGATCCTGGCTCTCTTCAGACCCGTCACAGACAAGACCCAGCCCGTTTCTTGGAGAAGAGAATGAGGCCTCGTGGCAAACACAGAGCTGGCTCAGAATTTCAGGGACCTCCTTGTGTCCCGGGGACACTCCTGAGCCCCAAGACCCCCTAGTGCCTTTCTCCCCGCCGGACGGTCCTGCAAGCTTCGACAACAAAAGCAATCTGAGGGGCCTCGGAAGATGCAAGGCTCATTGCACAAAGGGTCTATTGAAGCAGCCAAACCCATGACTGGCTTCATGTCGTCCTTCCAGACAGAACTCCGTCAACAAAGATTCATTTCACTGGAATTCTAGACAAAACTAGAATTTTGGAAGACGTTGCATGTTGCATCCAATGGGGTGAACCCCTTAGAAGTCTAGGAAGCAAACTGTAGTAAGACCCTAGAACATGCCAGAAAAATGGGCAAAGCCCAAGAGATACCCCATTTCTTTTTTTTTTTAAATTTTATTATGTTAATCACCATACATTACATCATTAGTTTTAGACGTAGTGATCCACGATCCATTGTTTGCGTATAACACCCAGTGCTCCATGCAGTACGTGCCCTCCTTAATACCCATCACCGGGCTAACCCATCCCCCCGCCCACCTCCCTTCTAAAATCCTGTTTGTTTCTCAGAGTCCATAGTCTCTCATGGTTCATCTCTCCCTCCGATTCCCCCAGCCGCAGGACACCCCATTTCCAAGGGACCAACCTACACCCAGAAGAATTTTAGCAGCATTACTTGTGCAAGACTAAAAACGAGCAGAATTTTAAGACAAAGGTTGAAACCACCGACTCTCCACGGTTGGCAAGTGTGCAGCCCCCTTGACGAGCTTTCCGGAGGGTATTGACAATAGGCTGAAAAGACCCAAAGATGGGCATTTCACGCAGGAAGTCTGCTCCAGCAGTTCGTCGTAATTTGACAATAGGCTGAAAAGACCCAAAGATGGGCATTTCACGCAGGAAGTCTGCTCCAGCAGTTCGTCGTAATTTGACAATAGGCTGAAAAGACCCAAAGATGGGCATTTCACGCAGGAAGTCTGCTCCAGCAGTTCGTCCTCAGTTTCTATATGAGGGGGGGCTGTGACGGGACTTACTCCGCAGGTGCCTGACTGGGTTGGGGGTGCTGCTTCTTGCTGACCGGGAGGCGTGACTTCTGCCAGGAGATCGTCGGGCCCGCTCGGGAACTTGCCACCCGGCAGGGGGCTGTCCTCTCTGTTCGGCGGGATGGGTGCCGCTCCCCTGCTCTGCCTCCTCACCCAGGGCTCCCTGGAGACCCCTGTGAGGGGAGCCCTCGGTTTCCACCTCCCGATGAAGAAATAAATGGTGGGGTTCACAGCGCTGTGGATGGAAGACAGGAATCATCATGGTGAATGAACCCTGAATCCTTGAGGAAGAACTTGGTACTGAATCACTCAGGACAAAACTGTGGATTGTCTCTGCCTCTTGGTGCAGACAGAATGAGAGCCTGTATTCATTTTTTTTTTAGTAGACCCCGTGGGCACTAGAATCTAACCGTCCCACAATCTCATCTCGGGAGAATGATGCACCTCTCATCCAGAAACTTTTTAAGAAGTAAATGAGCTGTCTATTTTAGAACAGTTTTAGGTTTGCAAAAAAAAAGTGACAAGACCGTAAAGAGTTCCCATAGCTCCCCTGCCGCTTCCCACATTATTAATCTCTTGTTATAATTAATAAGCTGGTACTGATGATTACTTATTACTAACCAAAGTCCATTACTTTATTCAGATTTCCTTAATTTTTCCTCAGTGTCCTTTTCCTGTGCCAGGACCCCCCGTCCATTTAGACATCGTGTCCCTCAGGCCGCTTTCGGCTGCAACAGCTTCTCAGACTGTCCTTGTTCTTGTTGACCCAGACAGTCCCGAGGCGGACAGGTAGTCACGCCGTAGGATGCCCCTCAGTTGGGGTTTGTCTGGTGTGTGTGCGTCACGGTCAGCCTGGGCTGTGGGTTTGGGAGGAGGACCCCAGGGTGAAGCGCCCTCCCCACCGTATCACACCCGGGCCCGTGCTCCCCACCTGACTCGTCCCCGTGACGCTGGCCTTGCTCACCGGGCGGGGTGCGCGTCAGGCCCCCACCACACCGTCACCCTCTTCCCTGCTGTGTATGCCGTGCCGTCAGAAAGGAAGTCACTGAGCAGCCCACACACCACTCAGAACTCCTCCACGTGGAGATTCAGGTCTTCTCCCCCATTCATTTCTTTATTCCACTATCTGTATCGGGGAACTCGTGAATATTTATACTTGGATCACAACCTTATTCTGTAGTCTGCATTTTGTTGCTCTAATTGTCCCAGCTCTGGTCACCGGGCGTCCTGTTGGCTGGCTCCTGGTCACTCCGACAGACCCGTCAGTGTGGATTCCTGGTTTCACGTGTTCTGACTTTCTGGCTCTTGAAGGTGCCCCAGGCTCATCTTGGGTATTTCCTGCTTCGATTCCAGAATCAGACATCCACCCAGGAGCGCTGGTCCCTTTCGCTAGGGAATGGTATCCGCGGCCCCGATCGGGTGCAGATGTCCCTGTTCTGGGGCTGTCATTTCTCTGGGGCCCTCTCCGCGGACAAAGCAGGGAAACTGACAGTGTAGACCAATCCAGCATTTTTTAAATTCACACGAACAGACTTAGTACCCACTTTCCTCTCCTTTCCTTTCATTTTAACCGAGACAAAATCAAACTTCTAGTTTTATAGTAGCTGTCTAAACAGGGAATATAGGGCACCTGGGTGGCTCAGTCGTTAAGCGCCTGCCTTCGGCTCAGGTCATGATCCCGGGGTCCTGGGATCGAGTCCCACATCGGGCTCCCTGCTCAGCGGGGAGTCCGCTTCTCCCTCTCCCACTCCTGCTGCTTGTGTTCCTGCTCTCGCTATCTCTGTCTCTGTCAAATAAATAAAATCTTTAAAAAATAAAAAAATAAAAATAAACAGGGAATATAGTAGCATAATTCACCATATTAAGCCATGACGGGAAAATTACAGGTGATCATATCTGCAAGACGCCGAGACGCTTGTTTGGCGGAACTGAACACTG